CTAATGAAAACAAGTATTCATTGGTTTAAGCTTCTGAGATGGGAAAACGTCCTGCTTATGAGTAAGATTTTTGGTCATACAAAATAAGATATTTGTAGAAAACATTGACCAGATTTTTTTTGATGTTATAGACCACACAACTGATCAATTCTAAGACAATAATCAGCATTTTGATTAATTGAAAATAATCGTTATTCTCAGACTTAAGTCAAGCATCATGCCATAGTGCTACTTTTATCAGTAAAGACTCAAGGGTGAAGAATTGGCAGTACTAACTGACCTCTGCAAGACAGATCTACGACTATGATACTATTATTATAACATATATATAACAATTATAGTATTTATAAAACTATCCAAAACAAAATAAGATCAAATTAAATTTTAGAAAATGTTTCTTATGACATTTTCATCAGTTATATGCACATGCAATCGGCTGCAACATTATGGGCGAGGTCAGATTTAGCTGTAATACCAGTTGAGAAGGACCAGTTTAAACCAGACGTGAATATGTGGAGTCTTTGTGCTGTCAGTGTGATTCAGTCAGTCATGGTCATCATGTGGGTGGAATTAAAAAAGAGAAAAAAGTACTGTTGAAAACTAAAGTGCACAGTCACTTGTCAGAAAGAAAAAGCAGAGGAGTTGAAGAGCAGGAGGACTCCAGCAGAGAGAAGAGACCTGTGAGCTCAGTGTGGTGGCTAATATTTTATGCTTCTTTGGGAAGTGCTGGAATGTGAGGAATGTGTTGACTTCACACTCACATACACACACACACACACACACGTGCAGCTTCCCCCAGTGCCACTGCCTTGATTAGCTAGAATCAATAGAGTCTCTGTGGTTTTTCTGTGTGTGTGTTAGTGTGTATGCCTGCACTGTGCGCGTGGCCCTAACCCCAGCACACATAAACACACCGCCCCAGCAGCGAGATAGCCGCCACCCACACTCAGCCACAACTCACAGCTGCAGTCCTAACACCTCCAATCTGACACAATACTGCCCTGACACTTCTGTAATGCTGCCCTAACATACTCAAGATAGTTGAAGAATGAAAGAATTATGTAGAATAAAACTCCTTTTCTTATATAATTTATTTAACAACAATGCACTTCAATTTAGGACTGCATTTTCCCTCTATTGTATATTTAATGTTAGTCAAATCACACTACTAATGAGACTATAGTCCTAAAAGTATACAGTGATTTACTCTTAATTTTAATTCCGAAATGCTAATGTTAGCATGCTACCATGCTCACAGGGTCATTGTTAACATGCTTATGTTTTGCAGGTAATGTTTACCAGGCTCATCATCTTAGTTTAGCCTGTTAGCATGCTATTAAATTAGCCCTTAACAAGGTGGGGTTGAGAGGAGCATCAGTTGGTATTGGGCAAATTCACAATCTGACCTGATGACAGGGAAAGATGAACAGTCGGAGGATTGCCAAAGTGATTAGCATTTACCCTTGAATATATGTACCAAATTAAATGGCAATCTGTCTAATAGTTGCTAGTGTGGCTTTTAATAACCCATAGCCTACTGAGCCTAAAATAGTCATTTTTGTATTTGAGTAGCTGAAAATGAGAGATTTTGATATTTTGATTGAATATTAAATAGTTTAATATACAACATACATACAAGTGTTGAGCCAGATAGACATGAACACATCAGAGAGCGAGAGGCAACAAGCCAAAAATAAGGCACCTCACAGAATGCCTATTAATCCCCAGTGGGTCATGAGATTCCCAGGCATGAAATGCCTTGCAGCCGCCTCCTTCTCCCGCCTCTCCCACTGAGGCGGTATGGCAGGATTAAGGACTCTGGTATTGGGTGTCTCTAGCAAAAAGTGATTGCGGGGTCACAGCATGGGCCTGCATGTCTAAATATCAGGTATCAAAGCGGCTCTGGGAATTGCACGCTCCAACTGAGTAAAGTGTGCATCTTCTGCAGTCTTCATCAGATGGTTCGCAGATCAGAGTTGGCTCGTTTTGGATGATGGTAGCCTGTCAAGACAACGTTCCACTCTATCTTAAAGTTGGCAGAGTCTTTTGGGATCACATCCAGTCAAAAACATACAGTAGCAATAGCCAAAGTCTGTTGATGAAAAACACTTATAAAGCCCTTGCATGTGATAGAACACTGCTAAGCTTTATCATGGAAATTCCTCTTTCTTGGCTGATGTCTGTATTATGACTAATTATTTCTGTTTGTGAATGGTGATTTGCTGCTGCTGTCTGTCCCTACAAGACTGTCTCCTTCTTCCTTTTGTCCAACATCGTCCTCTTTTCTTAATGAGTGAATGTGTTCGGCTGCTGTCAGCTCACATGGCTCCCAGAGGCCGCGTCGGGGTGCCCTGTTCGTTCAGCAAACACACCAATGTCCTCCAGAGTGGGGGGTCCTGCTGCAAAGGAGCTGCTGGGAGCCCCCCAATACTCAGCAGCCCAATAACGGAGCAGAATTTGGCTCTGAGGGCGTCAAGCAAACACGCCGCAAATGGCACTTTTATTTACTTGCCTTCACGTCCCCTCCCCCAACATCCTTCATTTACTGGGATCCGTGGTGCCATTTCCAGGAGCCCCATGGCAACAGCAGGCCTTTTGAACAGGGGGACAACTTTCTCATGATGTCACCATGCCATGGTGATTGGGGGTCTGCTGCAAAGAGATGAAGATGTCCAAATGGAACTGATATTTGGATTTTGGTATTGAAGCTTGAACTTGACCTGTGAATCAGGTTTTTAACAATAAAAGTTTGCGAGCTTGTGTGCCAGAATACGGTCAAATAGCTGCGGAAACGCGCTCCCCCCCAGACCTTTTTTGCCATTGTATTTGGGGGGTTGGGGACTGTGTGTTCGACAATTCCTGTGACTTTCTGAAACTGAAAACCACTCGGAGCAACTAAACACTTTTACCTTCCAATGTGGTCGGACAACATGTTGTATACGAACTTTATTCTCTAGCATAACCCAACCCTAAGTGGTATGATGCATCGAAACTTTTCACTCCTCACAATAACAAAAGCTAGTCCTGTCACTATAGCTCTCTTGACTTCATCTTGGCTTTGAATGAGCGTGTTGTTGCTTGCTCTACACAACCTGTCACTCATCAATGCTTGCTTCTTGTCTGATTGTGATAATGCAATCTGCCTGGGCTCCTTTGCTCTCAGGCTTGTCAGATGCAGCGGATCTGCTGTTTGCACAGTCCAATGAGCATCAGTGGCTTTGCCTTGTTGGTGGACTCCTCCCTGGCAACCAGGCTAACCCCCTCTGACCTCTGACCTGTGTTGTGCCCGTTGGATGTGAAGAGGAAAAAAAAAAAGGTTCCTGTCTAAATTCAGCCATTAGAATCTAGAGGAGACGGGGGCGTGCCCTCTAGCCTCTAAAGGAAACGCACATCTCGGGGCATTGTGGGGTGACAAAGATCATCAGCCAATGGCGAGACAAGTGCAGAGCGTGATGGATTGTGTAATTGAACATGTGACGTTTGATGGATGTCTAAATGAGAAGCATAATAGGTTGTGTGATGGATAGGTAGGAAGCGAACACTTAGATTTTCACACAGGAGCGGATGTGGGCTGTTTGGTTTTGGGACAGAGAATGATGGATCGATTTTTGAGGGAGGACGACTCAGCAAAAGAGGGAACGGATCTGTCATACTGCTGTTTAGTTTTTAGATCACTTCTTAGTTATAACCTCCCCTTATGTGAAAAATGGACACATAGTCACACAGCACAGCATGCGCACCAAAGACACATCTATTCAGACTACAACTGAAATGAATTTAACCTGAACTCTATTTTGAATTTTGTAATCGGAAATAAATGGAAACATATAATGAGGTATTAGTGTGAATTCCTATTTTAAAATCATAAAATTAATAATTATGTTTTTGTGGATGATATTCGGCAAAAAAATGAAAGCTGTTAAATAACCAGTGTGTATGATCTAGTGGCATCTAGCTGTGAAGTTGAAGATTGCAACTAATTGAAAACCACTTGCATCTGTATTCGACAACTCGGTAATGAAAACCGGCTGTGAAGTGTGTAAGAGAAATTATGGTGCAAGTGAAACCCGAAAAAATGCGAAAGGTTTGGTTTGTCCGTTCTAGGCTACTGTAGAAACATGGTGGGTCAATATGGCGGCCCTCGTGTGTTGTTTGTAGACAAAAACGACTAATTCTAAGGTGACAAAAACACAATTTCTATATTAAGCTGATTATACATTAATGAAAACACACCTATGAATATCATATTCCATTTCTGCCTATAGATCCTCCTTAATGTTACACACTGGACCTTTAAATCATTTGAATGGGCTTCTTTAACATTGTGAGCACATGTTAAATGGCAATCCAACCCCACAACAACGCTGCCTAACTCAGGATAGCATCAAAGGAATTTAGGGCCTGTCACACACCAGCTTATACATAGCACAGCTCAGCACACACCCCAGTGTCAAATATGGATTAAACACAATTTTCATTCTTGCAAATGCTTCGTTGAATTAAAAAAAACATGTTCATTTCCCTCTGTACGATCCTCAAAATAAAATAATCTCTTTAATTATAGATTCTGGATTACAAGTCAGAGAGGAGCGCTGGGATTTCATTAAAATCATTACTGGTTGTAAACCAGCGTGCTGAGTTCTCGATATGGCAACACTTATCAAGTGGACAAGTGTTGGCAACAGCTGAATGGTCAGCTGGGAAAAGAATGGCTGAGTCCAGGGAAAGTAGAGCTGTAGGGGGTCACACACACACAAACACACGGTTGCATGCATGTAGCTGTTTCACATAGTAGCTTGGCACAGGTGACCCTTAATCAGAGTTCAGACCCCTGTTATGTCGCTAGGGTTAGCTGCACTCCAAGAGGTCAAGGGTCAACCTGATTAATGAACACTGAGGATGTAAATAACTGAAGTCTGTTGAGCTTGTGAGAATGAACATTTGTCAAAGACAAGACAGAAAGAAAATAAAAAGATAAATGAGACCACAAACATGAGAAATGAATAACATATAAAGAATATTTATTTCATCCTCTCGCAGCCTGTTTCAATTCTTTGCTCTACTTGCACTGTTTTCAGTCTGAAGTAGCTTCTAGAGAAAGCTGTTGGCGGGCTGTGTGCTCACATTGCACCGCAGTCACGTCAAGCTTACCCAGTTGCAGAATCATGCGACAAAGCGCTCGCTGGTATGACATAATGTGTATGTTTTCTGGAGGATTATCACCACTCTATTGTGGAATGCATAACATGTCTGAGTGGAAAAATCAAAGAGAGAAGCAATAAGCTAGAGAGTGTGCTGACAGTGGAATTTTGTTTTGCTCGGCTATCTGCTTAAAGAATTCTTAATATTTCACATTTCCAGTCCTGCTGCTATGTTTCTGGCAAAGGTTAATAAAAACAAAAAACTGCTCTATTAGTTGGATCTTGCACATTATACTATTAGATTTGTGCCTAACAAATTGGATCGATGTTCTTGAACTATGTAGCTTATCTTTATGTAGCTGACAAAGCGTGTCGTCATTCAAACTGACAAAACAAATCGAAGTCAGTTACTTGTCATGAGGAATACTACTTCGCCTGCGGAGACAACTGGAGACGCTTTGACATAGCTGAAGAAAAAAACCCTGATGATGTCACAAGAGTTGTCTAGGTTTAGACTTGCTTGATTTTTAACACAAAGCCTGTGCTATAAACCGGGCCCGGGAAGTTTGAAAAACATGGGCACTTAGCAGGAGAGGAGGGTCTTATGAAAGATGCTATCAAGTTGCATTCTGGAAACTGTAAGATCCATTGTTTTTGGGAGCTTGATGCACATTAGGGACTGAAACTCAGGATATCTCCTGCTTTGATCTTGGCCTTTATATATTTCATAAACTTGTTTCTAGCAGGTTGCACAACTTTGTGGAAGTGCAATACTAAATCATTGGTGTACTAACTTAATCCAAGATGTAAATAAGTACACAGAAACTTAAAAAAAAAAAAATATATATATATATATATATAGAAATTGAATTTCACAAATATATGCACCTTGGGCTCAACTGTTAAGCAGTTTCCCTTCAGTGTTAAAGAAATAGATGCAAGTTATTTTCACTTTTGTAATTTTTGGCATTTGTCCTAAAACACTGCATCAGGGAATCTTTTAGTTTTACTAGTATAAAAAAGAACATCAAAGGCAATTGTACTTATTTCACTTCATTCTTCATTCATCTGTTATAACTTACCCGTTGCTGATCTAAAATATGACCTCTCAGGCTATTTTGACTTAAAAAGAAAAAAATGTACACTTGCAAATTCAGTGTCCTTGTGTCCTTATTCTAACTCAAGCCTAAATAAATGGATTTTAGCTGGATTTAAAGACAAGGTTCACAGATCTGTCTTAACAAGAGAGATGCTGCCCCCCGCAGGCCAAAAGTGTATCTCTACCACTGCGGTAAACGGTGCGTCCTCAGACAATGACAAAGTTGAGGCCAGATCACATTCCTCTACTTATCACAATTATGCCTGCACCGATGGGGAGCGAGTTATGTACAGTATTAGCCCACAAACCAAAAGCCATAATAACAGTGCAATGAGAGCACAGAAAGTAGTCTTTATGTATAAAGTCTCTCTCCAATCCCAGGGAGACCACTCATATTTCCAGCTGTGGTGAAATGTAGATTTATGCTGTAGTCATAACAAAGCCTGAACAAGACTGACACTGCATAATAAAAGGGCTGGAGCTGTGATCATTTGTACTGCAGACATACTGCCCGCACGCTGATGGATGACTTGAATCTGTCTAATGTAACAGTGGAAGTATCCAATACAATATGGTGTCAACTGTAGCGTGTGAGGCCGTGCCTACCTGCAGACATGTGTAAATACACAAAAAAGAAGACTGACAACTACAAGTGGCTGTCCCAAAGACAACAGTGACGCCAAGAGGAAAGGAAACCAAACTCTGCTTTCTGCTGAGAGTGATCTGGCCGAGTGTGTACTTAAAAACTCATCAGTGTATCCACAAGGGTTAGATTTTCAGTGAGTGTTGGAAGATATTTCATACCAAATTTAGAAAGAAAACACAGTCCGACAGATCAAGTTCAGTTCATGACGCCTGGGAAGAAATCCAGTAATAAAATAACAGTTGTTTTGCCTGTGAGGGGTCTATGAGGTTGTTTATAATGGGCCTGTGAACACGGACAACTCTTTAACTCTTTTTACTGATCACAGAAAGCAGGAAAGTTGTGCCATACTTTCGAGATTTACTTTCAGAAATGACTTACAAAAACAAGTACTTCCAAGTTTTGTCATTGTTGTCATTTTGTAAACTATGGACTGAAACGACTGTAATACCCATACTGTACAGGTCTTCCTCGGTGGAAGATGATTTAGAATAATCAGGTCAGGGTGGTACATTTACAGATCAGCAATGGGTTTGTGTGGCCAGTAGGGATATTTCTCTTTGTCCAGCTTTGTTTCTGGGAAAGTATCGTTCAGGTCTTCGATGGTCATCTGATCGAAGGGAATCATGTTCTTGAATTTGTCAAGCTGGGGAAGGAAGAGCAGAGGATCAGGATTCAAATTAGAGTTTTGATTAAGTGTTTCAAGTAGAATCAGGTAAATGAAGACAGTGAACCAGATTTTTCTGTAGGAGTCTATCACACTCATCTGATGCACACAAAAACTACAGACAGCAGGCAATAATAAATATAAAAACCGTAAACGCACACACAATTTTGAATTAAAATCTATCCACTGTACCTGCTTCAGTAGAAGTGAATGGGAGAGTGAATATTTGTAGGAAGGAAGTGTAACGTGACCATATGTGTACTCTCCAGGATCCAGTTTATAGATTTGTGTGCAAGACAATTTTCGGCAGCTGTATTAAAAAATAGACACAGGGGTTGATGATGAATTCCTACCTCTTTTTGATATTTGGCGACACAAGCTTTGGATGCTTCAATGTAGGCAGCAGCGCTTTTGTTCTGGGAGACAAAGAGACAAAACAAACAATTCATTTGCAATGAGTTTTTAAATAAAAGTTTGTGCGCACAACAAAAATCCATTGCCACTACTTTGTACAGATAATGAATCTATAAAAATAAGTTATAGCTATCTGGTTCCATCGCTGTGATTGCTGGTGTTTGTGAACAACCACATCTATGTTTCAGAAGTGTTTAAAATTGCTCTGACTGCACTTAATCCACAAACACAGTGTGGTACTTTTATATATCTTTGAGGACAAGTGTCAAGTATCAAAATGAATGCTGCTTTTCAAAAGGTTTTCATCACATGCTTGTGTTAATGGGCCATGCGGAAACATAAAATAAGGAAATTACAGTCACTGTTCTAGCCGAAACATCTAGACACAGTTAACACTCACCGCTTCTGCCTCCTGAGCGTTGATGAGAGCTGTCTGGGTGTCTACAGGCTCAGGAACCGTCAGTGTGTTGAACTGAGAGGACATGTTTAATCACACATCTATTCAAACACTTAAAATCAGTATTACATAATCAGATTTGCTGGTAAGAGATAGTTCACTTCATGATCTTCCCTTACCTTCTTTTCAAACTCATCCACCATGCCTGCTTTAGCCACTGCAGACCTGTAGTAGCTCCAGTCAATGGCGGGGGGTTTCTCTGGCAGAGAGGCGAGCCTGTGAATAACACAGATCATCTGGTTACAAACCTGCTCTGAACCCAGGAGCTTCTTGCTTTACCAACATTTTGTGGATATAACCCCTGCTACATTTGCAGACACTCAATGCTGCACCACTGTTACACCTTTAGAGAGAATATTTCTCATTGTTTGAGCATGACATTTGATGAAATGGGCATGTACTTTGCAGAAATAGCATCACTCCGTGTCTTCAGGCTGTTAAACATGGTCCTCTGGTTGGGCGGCACCCTCTCTGCAAAAGCCAGCCAGTCGATGGACTTCAGTGCAGCTCGTTTGCCAGCCATGTTTCAGGGTGTGTTCACTGGACAGGACAGAAAAACAACCGAGATTAACCTTTTACTCATAATGTCAATGGCTTGGTCACTTAAATGACCTTGTTTTTGTTGATATTGCCCTGAATAAGCCTATGTTTGCCCCATTTGGTTGCACAGATATTTAAGCATGGCCCCGAGTCTTACCCTCTTTTAAACTGACAGCAAACTAATTGTTACTTAACGCCTTACCGCTTAGAAATTAACGTTATATTATTACTTTGTGTCCTTCCCCACGATTCTCTGGTTTGGTCTGACTGATGGGAGAATTACAGTTATCAAACACAGCTAACGTTAGGTCAGAACAACACCGCCGACAGACTCAGTATGAACTCTAAACAGTCGATTTAACATTATTGTCACGGTGTTACATGTTGTAAACTAATCTGCTACACTTCTCCTGGATTACATCTTAAAGCATCTTGAATATTTGAGCAATATGTCATACCGTCAGTGGGACACAACTCCTCTGAACTGCTGACAGCCGATCGGAAGCGGAAATAAGTTAACTGTTAGCGTTAACTGACCAGTAAATTGCATAATTCTTGATATAATAACGCACGAATCATGTTTTGTCAAAGAAATCCTCGTTTACGGAGATTTCAACTGTAAACGACACGTTTTTATTATTTGGTGGTTGACAATACCAGAAACAGTCTCACTTCGTTGTTTTATTTTGAAAGGTTTTACAGGAACTGGACGATAGACTGTGTAATACAAAATGGACGCTAGGTGGAGCCAACGGTTAGCTAACTGAAAGATACTTTTAAGGATATAAAATACTCAGAGGATGTAAATACAGTGCATTTATGAATGATTGTGTACAGTAAAAGTGGCAGACAATGTATTCTTTTTTCGTTTCTGATCGCTTTATTGTAAAAATATAACACACATTATTTTATAATAACACATAATATGTTATCTTTAAGATACCGTACTGTTACTTCCGGTAGTAACCTTCAAAATAAAACAACCAACCGCCCAAGAATGTAGCATTAACTTAAATAGAGTTGGTTAAAACATTCACAAAGATAATTTTTATACAGTATAAACTGGTTTAACTGGAATGCAATACATGATGCAGAGGTTTATATTGTTTGCTAAAAAAAAATGCAAAGTATCAATGCAGATAACAGTAAGATTAGTACTCCATTTTGAATACCTAAAGATGATAGTAACTTAATAGTTTCTGTAGTACCTGTCAATACTAATATCTACTGTTCACACTGAGGATTGTAAAGTTACTGTCTCAGTTGACTTAGAAAATGTTTGTCACTATTATACTTTATTGTTGTTGTTGAAAATCTCCTCCGGTATGAGATTCCCTGTCAGTCTCTAGCTTGATACAGCCGCCTACTCATTAGAGAGCGGTAAGGTCCACCTGGTGAGAGGTTCAGGTGCTGTTGGATGTCAAAGAAAGCTGTTGACCCCACTGAGATGAGCTTTAACACAAAGAGTGAAAGAAAAGGACGTCGAGGAACGGAAAGCCAGAAGGTAAGATGACTCAACAAATAGATTAAAAAAAAGTTATATAGATGTAGATATAAATAGGCTATTAAATGTATTTTTAACATTGACTAAGATGACTGCTTGGTCATTTATGATCTAAGGGATAGGTTGATCAATTAGCCTGTTGTTTGTTTTTTTAAATAGTTAATTTATATTCTAGACTGAATGACTTTAAATAAATAAATAACAACAACTATAACAATAATAATAATTGTGTATATAACTTTTCTTAACAACGTTATTAAGGGGAAAAGAAAAAGCAAACAATAAAAGCAAAGGCAAATGCGAATAAAAACAAGATAATTAAAAAAAAATGATTAAAAAAGTTAAAAGGGAGAATATGAAATTGCTATGATGAAAAGGTAAAAACACAAGAAACTTATCACCTAACTATGCATTCAAGCTTTATTATAAAACAGTGTTTCCAGGCATGAGAGGCTGTTGCATTTACAGTAGGCGTGCAGTTCCCATTTATTTTGCTTAATTTTCTCAGGACTTTAAAGGGGGGGCTGGGTTTACACAGTCACCATGGAGATAAATGTGCTTGGATGAAATTGTCCTCATATAATAGGTTTACAACCAAAGTGTGGGCTAAGATGACATGATGGTCGTCAGTTGTTATTATACTTTTAATTAAAACCTGATAGCAGGCTGTTGTGCCACTCTGAATGTATTCCAGTTCACCCAGTCCGATGGAATTATGTTTGTACAGACGAACTGTGATAATCTGAACTAGATAAACAATAATAATTGCACTGAGACTGTAACCTGAAACAAGAACCCTACGTCTTTTAGTGCTGGAGAAAAGTATCTTATAGAATTAACAAATTAGATCACAATCCTAATGCTGCCATTCATTTGTTATATATGGTTCTTTCTCATTTCATCCCTCTCCTGTCCCTCTTTCCAGGGAGGACACAGAGGACACGTGTCCAATCTTGTTTCTTGGATTTAACAATCTAAGTTTGACTTATGCAATTACAAACAAAATCTGACTTTTTATGACCCTGTCTCTGTCTTATGTCCAACAGAGGAAGAAGTTCTAAGAGCAGCAGTGTGCAAAATGACTCAGGTGGTGGAGGACCAGACACCAGACACAAAAACCAGCCACTGCCAAAAAGATAATGCTTTATTCTGGAGGGAAAGCCATAATGCTGTTCAGTGTGTCAAAGAAGTGGAGAAGTGGCCTTCAGAGTCAGAAATACAACACAGTGATTCAGAGGAGGAAAACCAAGAGGAAGAGGAGTCCACCTCCTGTCCCACTGATGCTATGCAGGTGGGTGACCCGGCTGAACGCAACCATCTGGCTGCACCCGACGGAGGCTGGGGCTGGGTGGTGCTCGTAGCCACCATGTTGGTTCTGTCTCTTACGCTGGCGTTCCCCTCATGCATCGGTATCTTCTACACAGACCTGCAAACAGAGTTCAACGCCACCAACACAGAGACCTCCTGGGTGCCGGCCATCATGACCGCCACGCTGCATGCTGGAGGTATAGGGACCAAATCTGTAGATCCCACAGTAACTGTGTGTGTGCATGTGTCACCTTTATCTTTCCCTTCCATTGAAATGTAACACACACACAGGCAGATCTTTTTATTGAGAAAGGCAACAGTGAGTCAGGCTACGGTCGCGATGAGTTCAGGGTCAGCCAGGAGCCCATTGTTCTTGTGCAGGAGAGATTATTTGTCTTCTGTCTGCCTGCCTCCGTTAAAATATTTCTCCTGGACTACTTGTTGGGAACAAGTTCAGTGTGAAAAATATATTAAACAAGACTAGCTGAAGCTTCCCTAGTACCCCCTCGAGGCAGCAGTGCTTACGCTCAAAGGTGTTAGACGGAACAAGAAACACTTTATTATTCATACAGCCTAACCGGGAATGGGGCTAGATAAGTAGAGTTTGTTCTAGAAAACACCACAGTGGCTGTTAAATTAAAAATTTGTATCCCCTTTGGAGCATTTACAGAAAGTTTAACAGTCTGTCAATCACATTATGAGATATCCTGTGTGCCAAGCTGATATTTTCACTTGGATGTTGGCATAAAGCATGTGGAGTGTAAAAAATCTGACGAGTTCATCCTCTGTGGAGCATTAATGTATTTAGCATTATGTATTTTCACCTGCCTGTAGAACATAAAAGATGTTAGGTAATTAATTAAGGAGATTTTTTTTTAACGTCTATATCATAGTGGGAAAGGAGTCATAAAAGCCTGACGAATGGAGATGGGACATCAAAGACCTGAAAAGCCCACTAATCTGATTTAGATGTCGACTTCATTTGATAAGTCTGTGCTTAAGTAATGTATTTGGCGTTATTAATGTTCTGTGAGTCAGGAAATGGATTTCTGTAATTCATTTTTGCAGCATATTTTCCAAATTTTGGCAAGAGAAGAAAGCAGATATCACCAGTGTGTTTTGTATCTGAGAACATATCAGAGATGAGAGGAAATTAATTTGGCCCTGTTTTTTGGTTCTTTTTTTGTGAGGCCTCATTTCACTGTTCAAAAATAATAGATGTATGCAAATCAGGTTGATTTGTTGTGCTAATAAGGACATTGTTTTACTGTGAAGCTTTCTGTGAATGTGAGCCTGTCGATTTGTATTTGAAAAGATTATCATAAAATTTGATATTACTTGTTTTAGTGATAATGCGTCATAATCGGGTTATAAAAATGAACGCTGTCGCTTTGTGACACAGATCACAGTCGGGATATTGTCAGTTTATACTGATTGGAGTGTTTTTTTTAATTATTTGTTTTACTTCCATTGTTTTGAGTAATAGGTGTGATCCTGTATTTAATCATGTAAAGGATGATAATAATTGATTTGTATGAAAGATTTACAATGACTGAAATGGTTGTTTGCACCTGTATTTATATATTTGTATTTCCTTTTAATGGATTTATATTGAGTTTAAATTGTCTGTATTTGAAACTTTTGTCCCATTTCTCCCCAGGCCCTTTATGCAGCATGTTAGTGGAGCGCTTTGGTTGCCGGGCAACAGTGATGGTGGGCGGGCTCTTAAGTGGACTGGGCATGGCCTTTTCAGCCCTGGCCAGGACCATCACCGATATATACATCACTAGCGGCATCACAGGTGAGGGGCTGCACACACCCACAAACCCACTCTTCCACCAACATAAAGGCTCATCAGACTCTCTCTCTTCTCCTCCGCAGGACTGGGTTTCTGCTTTTCCTTCCAGCCCTCAGTGACTATTATGGGTCAGTACTTTGAGCGACGCCGTGTCTTTGCTAATGCCCTGTCATCCACTGGCACTGCTGTGGGCCTGAGTAGTTTACCCCTGATTTCCAATGCCCTGCTCAGTCAGTTTGGCTGGCGTGGCAGCTTCCTGATTCTGGGCGGGGTGCTGCTGAACTGCTGTGTGTGTGGGGCAGTGATGAGGCCCATTGCATCAGGACCAAACAAACCCAGACACTCTCCGGTTTCAGATAAACCACACAACTTATCTCTGCAGCAGGAGACAAAAGGGCTAAAAGACAGCGTAAAGACTGCTCTTCGTGGCTTTATAGCATTCCTACACAGACATATGGCCTTTGACCTGCTGGTGAGTAATGCTCGCTATTGTGCTTATGCAGTGGGTGTGACCTGGATGACACTGGGTTGTGTGGTGCCTCTGGTCTATCTGGTGCCTTATGCTACTCATCATAACATTGAGATAGACTGTGCTGCCTTCCTGATGTTCATCCTGGGCTTGGTGAACATCACAGTGCGACCTACGGCTGCCCTGGTCTTGGGCATGCCACGCTTCAGAGACAGCAGCAGTTTTGTGTACGTGTTTGCTGGAGCTGTGCTTGTGAACGGGCTGAGTAACTGCATCTGTGGGGCATCGGCCTCCTTTGAAGCTCTCCTGGTGTACGTGGTGATCTATGGTCTGTCCATGAGCGTGGCCGGCTCACTGCTCTATACCGTGCTGATGGACATGGTGGAGATGAGCCGCTTCCCCTCAGCCCTCGGACTTCTCTGTATGCTGGAAAGTGGAACGCACCTAATTGGTCCACCCCTAGCAGGTACAAACACATACTCATACACACTCATACACATGTGGGTTATGCTGTTTGTTAGCCAAGCTAGCGGCATCTCTAGGGGTCAAGTGATCTTCACCTTTTGGTTTTGAGTGAAATGTCTCCATGAAATTTGGTACACACTTTTAGTTTTGCCTCAGGATTAATAGTATAAACTGTGGTGATCCCCTGACTTTGCATCTAGTGCCTTCTGTCATAATCTTCAGTTTGTGCAAAACATTGGCTCATGGATGGATTATTGAATGGGCCTGCAGAGAAAATTGAACAAAAACAGATGCAAAACAACCACAAAGACACAATAACATCTTTTTTACACTTTTTGGTCTGAGGGACTTGTTCCTATGTAGGAGGGGTGGAGGGCCTTTTAGGAACAATTTGTGCTCTGAGTTAAATGCCAAGGTTAGCATGCTAATCATCTTAGTTTGTTGTTAAATTAAGCACCTAAACACAAGTACAGAGGAGGCAGACGGGAATTAGTTTTGCACGTATTTGGTCATCAAATGAAAGCATGGATGGATTATGGGGCAATGGGTCCCTGGGCACAGACATGTAAGTACCCCTAACCGGCCCCGAATAAAAATGTCAAATCAAAATAGGCCTTTAGACAGACTATATGATCACTGAAGGTAACAACAAAAATGACGAAGCTGAGTATGGTCTTTGTTTTTTGCACCATAAGCAGTATTAAAACTGAGGGACAGTAGTAGGCAACAAAATTGGAAAATTTCAAATAGGGCAGTTTTTATTGCAGTGCTACTGTATACAGGGGTTATTTGTGTTCTGGTTTGGTTTCCCTCAGTGTCGTGTTTGTTAAGACTGGTAATTTGTTATATTGTGTTCCAAGTTACATGCCGTCTTTATTAGAACAGGAGCTGTGCAGCTCTTCATGTGCCATCCTCCCTAAGGGCCACAGTGAGGAGGGGCAGTGGCGGGGGCTGCTTCAGTGTGTGTCGCTCAGTCAGCTTTTTTCTCCACAAAACCAGCCTAGAGAAAAGATGAGCACATCCAAGCACATAAGGTGCTAGCTTGTGTTTCCACTACCATGGCAACCAACATGTGACCTCTTCTGCAGCTGGTCAGTTTGTTGTGGGATGATGGAGATCTTAGTGTTCCCCACAAAAAATGAAGATCAGCTACTGCCACAGATGAATAGTGGGCACCCACACTCATCTATCCACTCTGTTGTTGTATTTCTTAAATACACTGAAAGCAAATCCACACATGTGAAGAAGTCTGTTTTACAAACCAAATGAGCAAATACTTTTTGACAAACTTTCACAAACCATCAAATTGTGGCAGTTATACATTATCTTATGAGTTTTGGCGATTTACCTCTTTTATGTAAACATTTTATTTACATAAATTGTAATGAAGTTTCCACATGTGCACTGTTATTTTCTGTTTGTTTGTAAGAAAATGTTTTTTTTCTACTTCGTTGGCTAACTAAGTTTTACATCCATCTATCCCATGACGCTCCTTTTGCATTTCTCAGGCATGTTGGTGGACTATACAGGCCAGTATTCGTATGTCTTCTACGCGTGCAGTGTGTGTGTATCCACTGCCAGCGTCTTTCTCGTGGGCTTCTTCTATTTCCTGGACAGTAAGCGAGATGACAAGGAGAAGAAGAAGAGCATGAAGACGCTGTCAGATCTCTATCAGAAGCCTGGTGTCATTCTGGACCCTGACTGCCAGTACGTCTCCTCAAAACGACGAGCATCAGGAAACACAGTGTATGTTACCAGTGTGTGATATATGGACATAACGTCCAACAAGAGTATGGCATTTATATTCACCAGTTTATAGGTAAAATTGCTTAGCTTTTTTAATATTATTTTTTCATAACAATGTGTCACTACAGTGGGTTAACTTTGACATTAATATTCTATACTGTGAATGTATTCATTTTGCATACATTTACCTTTTCACTGTGACAAACTCAGTGCCCTTCTACATGAACAAGTTTGGTGTTATGAATAAAAGTTTCTTGTTTTGTACAATGTGTACATTTTTTTCTCACTCTGTCTTTGGAATATTTGGTTTCTGTAATAATAGAAATGTAATACAATTATATTAATAAGGGGTGTTCATTTCCCTGTTCTTTTTCAGGAGATCATATCCTGTGTCCTGTAGGTGGCACTGCAGGCTCCATCATGTGAAGCTGTCATTCTAACCAACATTTTGTTCAGTGTGAGAAACTGTCAGTATTTACCTATCAGTGTCATAATCTGACAAATATTGCTACACATGTCCCATAGGACCTCTTTTATACCTCAAAGTATGACTGATTGTAGGCGTCTCATAAAGATGTTTCAGGGATTACATCGAGCCACATTTTTCTGTGACACAAGTGTAGTGTGAACTTTTTTAATTTTGCTGGATCATGTTTGTTAGCAGCTCCTTGTCTCTTGCTTTTTGAGTTTGGACGTTATACATATTTTGTTTTTCACACCACTGAGGCAGGAGAATGAATCTATGAGTCTAAAAACACACTCGAACTCTATTCTGAAAGTAACTCTGAAAGTGTGTGAAACGGCCAAATGGTAAAGGAACTCTTACCTCCCAGCCAATGAGGTTTAGTTGAAGTTAAAGATTACACATGCAGTGATAAAATCCAGCTAAAGCAAAGAGACGCAGCAGAGAACCCAGTCATTTGTTGTCAAGCCCCACTATCCTCTAAGTAGATATATCCAGACACTATTAGATCCAGTTAAAACAGACTGACTGTGTGATACTTAAGACCAATGTCAGCACTAATTTCTTCCTCACTGCTAAGGTCCTGTGTGTATGGACTCCAACACAGGAAGACTTGGACATTATGCAGCACGAGTTTGCTCCAGTGGTGTCGGTAAGTTTATGCTCTTCATGTTCATGGGTCAAATGGTGTGGAACACAGAGTCAGTCCCACATTTATTGAAGATGTCTGTGTTCCTTTAAAGTCTGTAATGGTTTAATGCAAAATGGGTTGGCTTTCAGTCAATGATGAAAAATTGGTAATGCCTAACCCGGAAGTTAAGGTTGACAAGCATTGTTTATTAAGCACAGCTGATTTTTGCACCATTCTTCAATCCACACCAGTGTTGGGCTAGTTACTCCAAAGATTATTTATTATTATTATATTTACATTACTTATTACTCCCTGCCAACAGTAATTAGTTACACTACTACTTATATTAC